AAACTATTTTTGGGCACTGCTACTATGATGACCATTTAAGAAAAACCATGTCACTTACTGTTCTCAAACTTACAGGAAAGAAACATGGGACTAAAATATAGCTTCAGTAGGCAATGCAATCTGCCAGTTAAACATTTTTTTGTGAAAATTTAATTTTTCACATATTGGCATTTTCAATGTGTGACTTTGAAGTTCCACAGGCTTGAAGACCCATGATAGTCACATTTTCTGAAAATCCATGATAGGTATATTTTCTTATTAAAAATTGATTGTCATTATGCTGTAAACCATTATGTAATATTGCATCAGAATAGAAGAAAACACAATTTTGGGTGCTGCTGCCATGATGACCATTATGAGAAAACCATGTTACTTATGATTGCAAAACTTTCAAAAAAGAAATACAGGACTAAAATGCAGCCTGACGTTGGAAAAGCAGTCTAATTGACTTCTTTTTCTGGAAGTTTTACATTTTCAAAGTGTGAACTTGAACTTCCATGGGCCTGAAGCCTTATGCTTGGTACACATTTTACTTACATTGGTATTACCTGTTGAGCATAATTAAAATTTGATGTTGAATTTGCAGTTTAACATAATGTACTTTTGTATCAGAATTGACAGTAGCCTATTTTGTTATTTCCTGCTTTTTGTCTGTACATTTGACAGCTTTGCTGCCTTGTTTTATTTGTACTGAAATGAACATACCACAAGATCATAGATTTTACAGGAAGAATATGATGAAATTTTTCATATATATATATATATATATATATATATATATATATATATATATATATATTCATTTGTGAGGAGGTCATGTAAAAAAATAACCCACAAATATAAGTTTTTGAAAGACGGATGTTCATTGCATTAAGTATACAGTATTGTCAGTTTTTTAGTTAGTTGTTTACAAATTGACCTTGCTGTTGTGATTCTTCATTGCTTGGCACATAATTAACAAAGAGCTGAAAATTATTTTCACTCTGGTTAAATTCAGTATGCACTAACATCTGAAGGAACTTTGAATTCCCCGTGTATTTATAATGTACATGAAGAAAGTGCAGCAAAGGCAACACTAAATAGCAGCAGCAAATACAGGTGATGCCTAAATATCCAGACAGTGTCTGTACATAAAAAGGAAAACAAAATATACACTGGTGTTCTATTTATATATTGAAATAAGCACGCATTTCAAAAGATATGAATGTTAAAGTGATAAATGTAATGACTGGGTTATTTATTTACCCACATTAAATCAGTTATTTAGAGAGGTTTTTACATTTAACTATCTGTTGTCAGTATTTTACAATCCAATATTTACAACTACTTTACAAGTACTAGAGTGTCTCTGTTAAGAAATGTTAGTATTTTTAATCCAATATTTAAAAGTACTCTAAAGTGCTCTAGAATGTCTTAATTAAGTATTTTGAATATTTTCAATTCAATAATTACAAGATCTAGAGTGTCTCAATTAAGTACTATCAGTATTTTCAGTTATAGGCCCCATGCTGATCAAAAAGAGCTGAGTACTAGCTAGGCCGCGACCTAAATATGGCGGACCTACATGAAAGGGGGGCCTGTAATGGTCTATCCGCCTGTCACATGCCTACCCACATGTCGCCCCTACAGGGGCACAGTAATTTAATCTTGGCTCAATTCAACCGGTCGAAGGACGACGCATGGGGAGCCGTGTGAAAGGTGGAGAGACCATTACAGGACTAAGCCTCCTTCCTTTCATGTAGGTCTGCCATGTTTAGGTCGGGGGCCTAGCTAGCACTCAGCTCTTCTCGATCTGAATGGGGCCATACGTTCACAAGTGTTCACTACGTAAGTGTCAACATTATGTATGTCCTTATTCTTAGCTAAATATTTACAAGTACTGGTATGTCTTCACTGGCTCTGATGACAACACAAATAATGCTCTCAGTATGAAATGTAGGAAATATTTATATTGCATTAAGGGATGTCTCATTGTAGATTTTCAGAGGGCTTGCTAATATCACTAGAAACAGAAAGTCACTTTATTTATCTGATGACAATATCTAAGGCATCCAAGTAATATGGTGGAAATACACCATAGGTTCCTAGTCCACGGTGACCCAAACAACACAAAAAATCTTGACACATACTATCAATCACTGCACATGTAATTTTAATGTGGTCCAATAGGGTTTTCACCTGTAGCAGGTGTGGGGGGAGCTGCCATTCCTATCGACAATGGCTCTTCACAAGAAAGCCCATCTCCTCCAAGTTTCTGTAATTCATCCTCTACATCCTGGTAGCTGACTTCTAGTTCATCTGCCAGATACCAGATACCAGAATCCCTGAATGCAGCTTTCAGGTGTTTAATTGGCTCTTTTTTAGGACTTATTGCAAGGAGTGCTTTGAACAAATCTCTACAAGCATCTTGTGGATTTCTCTTTGCATCATTTTTAAGCTTTGTTATCTCCTCATCTGGTATTACATTAAACTGATACAGGTAATCTAAAATTTTTCCCATATAAATGGAAAGTTCCGCAGCAAAGTCAATCACTTTCTCTCTCAGTTTCTTGTACTCCATTTCACTCAGAAGTCCTTCCTAGAAGAGAAATATTATAAGCCACATTTACAACTTCTACTCCTTCTAACCATGATGTTGTGTAAATGACTTTAAAATGACACTACACTGAGTACTGGTAATCTCAAACAGCCAAATCATTGTCTCGTACATTTAGTTCCAGCTCTTACTCTTTCACTTGGAATATGAACAAATGAAAAACTTGTTGAATTAAATTAAGACACTGCAGAGAAAGGGAATGTTTTAAATGTGGAATTAACTGTTTTGGAGTCAAATCATATATTGTCATTTTAAAATTCAAAAGACTGGTTACTTTATTGGATCATATTCTAGAACATATTGTCAATTACCTTGACTTCATCAATCAAATCTTGTGGAATGTCTTGCTGACCTTCTCTGTGGCATTCTTTTAACTTTAACAACACACTGATGAAAGATGCAATAGAACCCTCAACTTCAGACAACAAAGAAGCCACAATATCGGGAGGACGTGGGGTTTCATCTGAAATGCCATACATCTTCTTCACTTGGTCCCACACACCATCTTGAGAAAGTGTCTCATTTAATTGTTTTTTCACACTTGGAGGGATATGTTTATGAAATGAGGCTGTCACATCTTTCTCTTTCGTGAGTGTCACCGATTCCTTTCCTGAGTAATCGTGGTAAACGTTGAATGTAATATGCATGTTACCTGCATTAGCGGTGATATGTCTTAAAACCCCAGCTATCTCATGAGGCACTGCTGTAGGTAACCTTTCTAGCTGGTTATCCCCATAGGCCTGATTAAGAACTGTATTTCCTGTTCTTCTGATAGTCTGAGGGTCACCCTGGTCTTGATCCCCAGCAGCCACAGGGTCCTGTTGTGGAGATAAAGGTGGGAAGTCATGGCCTGATTGCCTACTTGTTTGAAAGTGGACACCACCTTGTTCCTCCAGGTGGTGGTCAGTGACTGGCTCCTGAGGTAGTCTGCTTTCCTGTCCTTCTTGGCGTTGATTTGGTCCTGTTGACTCACCAGGCAGTGTCTGAGATTGGAAATTGCCTTGTTGCAACAACTGGCTGCCAATGTTGGATTGAATCCTAAGTTGATTCTGTTGGTATGGGTCTTGCTGGTAATACTGCTGGTTTGGTCTCAACTGAAAGTGGTTGCCACCATGCCTCTGCAGTTCCACACCTGGCAATGGGTGTGAACTCCTTTGTGGAGCAGATCTTACACTTTCTGCACCACCAGAATAGCTACCAAGATTGTATAAGTCCATAGGGGGGGCAACCTGAAAAATATAACAAGAAGTAAACATTACATAAGTGGCCTAGCAACAGTAATTCTTTTTAACTAAATACCTCAAGGTTATAAAGGAGGTGTCCAACTATTCTGGTTCTATTTATCAACACTGCACTTGTATAATCATTATTTTTGAAGACTACTATTTGGTTGAGAGGCAGTCACCAGAGGTCAATAATTGTAGTGATTTTACCTCACTTTACACCTTGGATCTCCACTGCCACTGTATGAGCTAATGTCATTGATAAGTTCTTAATGTGTCTTAATTCAATTATATTTTAAGGATGAGTGCAGATAAGGAAAAAGTGCCCACCTTTGTACATGAAAAATAAATTGTGAATGACTGAAAAAAAATTGATGACAAACTTAAGTTAGGGTCTTTGGGACCGTTCACATGAAAAATCTATTTTCTAAAAATCTAAAACTCTTTTGGCAGTATCTTGTGATCACGGTCTGTGCCATGAATACCCCGCGGCATAATTACTGGCAGCGTGAGCGAGTTAAGCTTCCAAGGCTGTAATTAATTAACGGCTGTGCTCAGAGGAGATTCATGTGCAGCAGAAAGTTAGAAAGAAAGTAAATGGCGGTTGCTTTGAAAAATGTTTGTCGATTTTGTGCAACAACAAGTCAAAGAAGATGAGGTCCACATACACACGACAGATATTTTGTAAGATTAAGAAAGTTAAAATGAAAAATGTTCTTCAGATATTTTTCTTTTTAGGCCTACTCTTCTCATTTTATTTAAACTCCAGCAATTCAAATTGACCATTTCAGAGACACCTTGACAAACAAGTAGTAACATGACAAATGTCAGAGATGGTGGAGCTTATGTAGTTCCACCATTTCCCTTCATCACAGTATCTAAAACATAGTTAAAATGCATAATTTGTGCCACAAGTTACCAGAAGGGTAAAATCTCTGCCCCATGTTGCTAAGTTGGATATCTTCACCAAGAAAGGTATACTTATCCATGAAGGTACACAATGTTGTGTCAACCACTTGCTGCCTGTTAGAAAGCTGAAACAAAGGTTGACTCCTCAGCTGCCTAATAAGAATGTAGATCCAAGCCTGAAGGATATTTGTGCTATTCTAAGCACAATGAGAAAGGTCTTAGCACATGCACCAACTCCACAAGGCCTAAATTTTCATGATCCTTCTGCCTTCACTGATGACCAGTACATGTCAGTGACTGGAATTGACAAGAAGCAATTTTGGGAACTAGTTTCCACAGTTTCCCACAGCATGAGAACAACGCTCAAAGCAAACTGCTGTTGGTATGTTACTAACAAAGCTGAGGACTGGACTATCATATTGCTTGTTATCCACATTATTCTGTGGCAAAAAGAGCACCATCAGACATGGTGTCCATGCTGCAAGAGAGACTCTCATGAAAGATCTTGTTCCAAAGAATCTTGGCTTTGAGGGCCTGGCACGTGAGGATGTGAAAGCCAATCACACCACGGACACAGCCAGAACCTTCTTTTCCACTGGGGAAGATTGTAGTATTCTTGTGCTTGATGGTACATATGTTTACATAAAGAAGTCCTCTAAATATACCTTGCAGCGTGCTGGACGTACATTGTCCACATGGGAAGACCACTGGTGAAACCCATGATGGTTGTAACATCAACTGGCTATATAGTTGCAGTCATAGGAGCACACAAACAATACGTGGTGCCTCGATATAAAACCAGACGACTTTTGTGTTTTTAATCTCCAAATACTAAAAAAAAA